AGAGACCCCAAATATCCCACAGAGACCCCAAATACCCCACAAAAACCTCAAATAACCCATAAAAATCTCCCCAAATCTGTAAGAACACCAAATACCCCTCAGAGACCCCAAATATCCCCACAGAGACCCCAAATAACCCCTTAGAGATGCCAAATATCTCACAGAGAACTCAAATACCCCACAAAAACCTCAAATAACCCATAAAAATCTCCCAAAATCTGTAAAAATCCCAAATACCCCACAGAGACCCCAAATAACCCCTTAGAGACCCCAAATATCCCCCAGAGACCCCAAATATCCCACAGGGACCCCAAATACCCCACAAAAACCTCAAATAACCCATAAAAATCTCCCAAAATCTGTAAAAATCCCAAATATCCCACAGAGACCCCAAAAACCCCACAGAGACCCCAAAACCACCCTGACCCCACCCCCCCCCATTTTGAGGGGTTTTTGGGGGGTCCCATCCCCGTTTTTGGGGTGTCCCATCCCATTTTGGAGGGCTCCCATCCCCGTTTTTGGGGTTTCCTGCCCCCGTTTTTGGGGGGTCACATCCCCGTTTTTGGGGGGTCCTGCCCCCATTTTTGGGGGTTCTGCCCCCGTTTTTGGGGTTTTCTGCCCCCGTTTTTGGGGGGTCCTGCCCTCGTTTATGAGGGGTCACATCCCCGTTTTTGGGGGGTTCTGCCCCCGTTTTTGGGGGGTTCTGCCCCCGTTTTTGGGGTCCCCCTGACCTTGGCGAAGAACTTGATCTCCTGCTCGTGGGGGGATTTCTCCACCCGCCCGCTGCTGACCACGGCCTCTGCAGGAAAACGGGGGTCGGGGGGGGTCCCGGAATTTTGGGGTGTCTCCCGGGATTTTGGGGTGTCTCCCGGGATTTTGGGGTGCCCCCGGGATTTTGGGGTGCCCCCGGGATTTTGGGGTCTCACCCAGGTGTGCGATGAACTCCTGGCGATGTCCATCCAAGGACTCCCAGGGGATCAGGGAAAAATCGGGGGATTTTGGGGGGGTCCCCCGGAATTTTGGGGTCCCCCAGGATTTTGGGGTGCCCCCGGGATTTTGGGATGCCCCGGGATTTTGGGGTCTCACCCAGGTGTGCGATGAACTCCTGGGCGATGTCCATCCAAGGACTCCCAG